TTTTTTTTTTTGTCACTAATCTTTTTCACGAGGCCCCTGAGATGAATGGAGCTCTGGTCACTCAGACACACAGCTCATGATGATGCCTTGCACCAAAGCACAACTAAAGAATTGCAAAAATATGGCACACACATGGTTAAATTGGGTTTGAATGAGGAGCTGCGCCCCGTGTTAATGTGTGGATCACGTCCGAAAATGGATGCACCGACGTTTGCATCCGCAGCCGGTAGCCTATTCTAGGGGTGGTGGAGCCGGATGGTGGAGGGGATTTAAGCCGCAGCATCACTTCATGCAAAACGGTGCCATAACTCATCAATCATCTTTTTTTTCCCTAATATATATATATAGAATATCAGGAGCCGGCGTGTCTGCTGGCGTTGCTTAAACAGGCCTGCATTAAGCTGAAGGTTGTTCTGTGACACCGGCTTCATGCTGATCCCATGGGGGAGCGCGTGTGTGGAGCCGCTACAGCTCCAATGTCACGAGCTCAAAAAATAAATAAATAGGCCTAAATAAATAAAAAGAGAATCCCCATATTTACCTTCATGTCGTTGACAATCGCCTGGAATAGACCCCCGAGGGCCCCGCATTCCTTCTCCACGGTCTCCATGTTTGCCAAATCCACCATTCACCGGAATCTGCAGGAGCGCACAGCAGCTGCGCGCTACCAACACCCAGCAGGAAGAGGGGTGACAAAAAAAAAATAAAGAATAAAAAAAAAGGATATAATCCCACAAAAGCACGACCGGGCTTATCCGGTTACTCCTTCAAACCAAGACAGGGCGACACTATCAGGAGGGGGGGATGGGGGGGTGCATGAAGAACAAGAGGAGGGGGAGGGAGCGAGGAAAGATGCCGAAACGACAAACGGGTTGGTGAGAGTGTTTTTTTTTTCTTTTTCTTTTTCCCCTTCTCTTTTTCTTTAGAGAGAGAGAGAGAGAGAGAGAGAGAGGGGATGATCTTTCTCCTCCCACTCTCACTCAGGTTCCGGCTCGGTCAGGCGGTGGGGGGGCACCGTCCGGATGGCACCGGGGCGACCACCACGCTCATCTTGGCGCAGCCAGCGGAGGAGTCGGTGAGGACGCATGTGAAGGCGGCAGGACAGAGAGAGGAGCGGAGCTATGTGTCACCGTTAGAGAGAGAGAGCGCGTACGTGCGCATGTGTGCGCGCGCGTGTATTTCAGAATGTGTGTGTTCACGCATGTAAATGGCGGGTTGTGATTGGTGCAGAGGAACTGGGCTCAGCGGAGCTGGAGAGAGCAGCAGCCAGTAACAAGAT